ACCATACTTACAAGATAACTACGTTAGTTATATCCAATTGCTACAGTAAGTGACTCATTCATTATAATGTTGTCAAAATGCATGCAGTGCGAGTTGTAGGAGAATATCTATTTTGGGATGTAACTTTGTAAGCTTTGTTTGAATAGAAGTGGGAGCACGGGTGTTGTGTGTGTAATTGGATTTCGAGCCACAACAAATTATCCGGCTTAGCTTACTAGTAGGGTAGACTGTGTAGAAAAAGCCGGGGTTTTCCTAACCTGCAGCTGGATCCAAGACTGTTCTCGCTGCCAGCCACTAGTTAGAATCTGAAGGCTGAGACTATGGTAACTGAGGGGTGTCTTTCCTTGGGGACATATTGGCCCTTGAGCCGAGGAGCTAGCCATGTGTACCAGTGTTTGCAACCGTCTTGCAAACACTGACTAGGGTTCTCTGGCCCCATGCGGAGAACTGAGAGTCGAACATAACTTGTACAACCTTTCCTCGTTATAGTCAAACTGCAAATCCTGTGTCATCAACCGAGATTAAAATTGACATCAGGAAATATTTGATTTGCGCCTCCTTCAAAGAGCGACCTTAAAGAAGAAGCCGTTGACAAATAGTCAAACATGTTGAGTCATTGCAGCGTGCAAATTGTACCTGCAGGGATACGTCTTCTGTTGTCTCACACGACTCATCTTCTGTTGCGTCGCTTAATGCATATTTGTACAGCGTTACATGTGATCTGTTTATGGCACTGACGTCACTCGAAAACACCCTGATCTGACTTCCCGCGCCAAACAAAGCGTGAAAAACGCACCACTATTCAGATATAAGACAGACCTGGCATGATTCAAATGCCTTTCTAAGCTTAGAATATGTGATAGACATAGTAAGAAGCATCTCTTCTTGAAAGTAGATGTATAGGGTGTGTAATAGGCTATTTGTTAATGCATAAGTGGGATATGTGTCCTCTTGAAAATTGAGCAGTAAGTTCATTTAACCTACGACTAGGTGGCGCTTTTTTACACTGATCTTTTCTAGATCCTCATCGTTATCATCCTTATCAACGTAAAGAGTAACATTGTAAGTCCTAAGTAGGTTTTCTGCACAGTACTCCAATGTAGAGTTGCGCATAGCTTCAATATGGCCAAGATGCCATCTAAAAACTCAATATTGCTAGCATCATTTGAAACATCTTGTACATATCAACAGTAGTCTAGCCATGCAAGCATGTTTGCCAAACGTTGCACAACGTCTGTATGTAAAATCATCTTTCTTCTTTCAAGCAGTAGCTATAAATTATGTCTTCCATTGTCTAACCAGGCATGTTCGTGCCCTTTGAGCTGTGAAAAAAATGCTCATATATCAGCGGCCGTAACTATGTCAAGGTTTGTTTTCCCTCCCCGCGTGTCATTGTTCCCCCTTCTGCACTTCAAAAGAAGAAAACAGGAGAATGAAACATCATGACTGAGAAATTCGTTATCATACATTTCTTCAGGTGATTGAAATTGGACAGAATTTCAGGTCATCTTGCAATTGCACAAGCCAACGCAAAGCTATTAAGACAATTATGAACCCTCGACATTTGGGTAAGTTGTTTAGGGCCTCATTATTGCTAGCATGCTGAAGTGAATGATGGCAATTTCTCGCATTACGGCATGAAATCAATTTACTGTTGGATTTTTTTACGACAGAAAAACCGAACTTACCCCCCCCCACCCACACACACAGTAGCAAAGGGTATATGTTATCATGTATACTCTGGAGTTTTTGCCGCTATAGCCATTGGCTAGCTAGTATGATATGTCTTAATTTTTTTCACAGCTTATATATATATAAGCTTATATATATATAAGCTTATATACAGCTTATATACAGCTTATATA